TTTCCATAGTTGTTCATGGGTGAGAAGCTGCATTGGATAAATGTACGAATGAGCATACATTTATGTTGTGTGAACAGGCTGTCGGGGATGGTGTTTTATCACCATATGTAATTGGAGGGATTGGATGAAGTAACTTGACAGCTTCTAGCAGAATGTATCTCGCATACACTATAATCCTACTAAATACATGTATACTGACTGATGTATACTGTAGATGTGTTGACAATCAAATACAGAACATTCTTTTCGAATTAGAAAATCAGAAGGAATTTGTTCCAATAAAATAATTTCTCGGGGTCAGATTGACTAAAGTGAATGAAGTAGCTACAGTGCTAAAATAAGGGAATTCTCACAATAAGTGAAGTTGGGAAATCATCTAATATTAATGTTCGAATGAGCGTATTTATTATCTCAAGCCTCTTTTTTCACTTATTTCTGTTAATCTGTTGGCGTCGTAAATTCAAAAATGTTATTTGTTTTCAGAGCTTGGTCGAGATGAAGCTCAGGTGGCTTGTGGTAAGTGTTCATTTGGCCCAGAATCTTTTCTTGTCTTTAGCAAGTATACTAAACTTCATGTGATTCAGTCAGTTAGGAAGTTTGAATTAAGGTGTCTTGAAAATAATACTGCCGCCGAAGATCTAAATTTTCGATTTTACAGCACTGTTTGAGTAAATTAAGTCAAGAATACCTGTTTGCGCAATTTATTCCCAGTCATTTTGCTGCATCTGTAAACATTCCTCCTGTAGTGAAGTTAATCTTCTATCTTTACTAACCCAATCAATCACAAAACGTGTGTGCGTTAACAGTGACGGAACGAGAGAGGAAGTGCCTAGACATCATCTACACATAGTGAGAATTACAATAAAATGGATGTCCCTATAGCCAAGAAGCAAACAGTAAAGAGGAGAGCAGGAGAACGTTGACGTAAAATCAAGCTTTTCGAATCGGCGTTCAAAGAGTTTAAGATTATAAGTTGAGAGAAAGGCAGAGTGGATGGTGCTCCACACTTTGACAGTTGGATCTTGGTTCGATTTTGGTCACTTTGTTTTCTATACATTTTGAGCTTATCACAGCGTTTGGCAAAGATCCAGTTTACTTGAGTAAATTGATGCTTGGTTGTTTACAATATCCAAGAGGGTTTCCATGTTTGAGTGATTGTAAAACTGATGACCATATAATCCTGTGTTTGAAGGATGACATCATCGGTGTGAGTTTGCTGTTCGCTAATCTGCGATGTCACACCGTCGTGTACGGTCATTGGATCACTTAACTGCCTTCCTCTGTTTCCTATGAAGATGGCTGAGAATTGACATTTGAATTGGTAATCGCACATAGAGATTGTGATTTTTTTCCATGATTCTGTGGTGCTCCACAGAGAATAATACATTGGAATAAAAACACCTTACGGAGATCTCGTCGTCCCATATATCATTTCCTACGTTTAAGTAAATGTTCATCATCAGACCCAGCGGACAGACTCATACCCTACAAAACTTTGATCCTGTCAATCTGTCAAAAGAAATGGTAAAATCTATGAACCGAAAATGGAGAACTTCAGTGGTCTAGGGTTGCAAAGGTATTGAGAAGATGCACGAACGCCACCGTTTACGACACAGTCATATCACTGTGTCTCTAGCCGCCGGTTGCGGTCATCCGGAGGTCCCCAGACGGGGAGCCTAACGGGACCTATGTGACCCAGTACCCTGGTCAGGGATTTCATACCCTCATGCCAGGTCTTAGCTTGGTCACCCTTGGCTTTTCTCCACAAACTGTTTCGTTTGGAAAACTATGAATGCAATATATTTGATTACTGATATTCATTCATTCATTCTGGTAAGATAAAATAACAAACAAGTTACAACTTTACCATCCAGTATTCCAGGAGCTCATTTTTCCACAGAAACCGGTGATTTCTTTAAATTCTTTTTATCGGAAAATGAACAGGGATGAAGGGGTGTGACATTGTTTTACTTGGATAACTTAATATGCTTCTGTAAATAAAATAATCTGAGCCAAACTACTGACTTTTGGATCGCATCGCACATATAAAATGATCCCAGGATGAAGCAGTTATTTATTTGTTCTAGGATTTATTCGATCATCCCTTAAAGTATAACAAGCTTTCGATTTCTGCTACACAATAGACAGGGGTTATATAAAAGCCACGGTTGGATATTATTATGGTTAAATTTCCGTTGTTGATAAACAGTCGAAGTCCACTGCAGATTATTTTAATATAGTTATCTTTATGATTCTAATGTAGCGCTTAGACACAATGAATTGGATTTTGGAGATTGTGCTCCAACCGACATTCTCAGTCGTACGTTTACACTGGTACATTGTGGGGAGTCCGATACAACCAGCTTCCGGTTTGCATGGCCAACTACCCATTCAGTTCTGCAGTTCAAACCAGCTGAAGGACATCTGCATCCCGGACATTCGAAACGTATCACTGTCACATTTAAACCAGGTGGTGTTCCTGTCTCTCTTCAGTCTAGCTCCGTGAAATGCGTACTACATCGTATTCGTGTTCCTATCAGCGATGGATGCGACCAGGTGGGCCAAACTTTCCTTTTCTTTCCGTTAATGAAAGTATGCTGTTCTCAGAATATTTATTCACGATTTTAACTGTACCATAATTTATTCCCAAACCGTCTTCTGATCTGGAGAGTAAAACTGATTGTTTATTGAACCGGTCATAGGGCTGTGATCTCCCGCGATAAACCCATAAAAAGTTGTGAATTCTCGCGGTCGCTGCTGACTAACAAATAGTTCAATATTTCGATCTTCATCATACCATCGAACTGAAAACGTGGACCATATTCAGTGATAAACTTTTACCGCTTATTTTGCTGTGCAATTTGTTGTTTTACGAGGAGAAATTATGGCGTTGAATAGTCCTCTTCATTATCATTATCTGTCTTACAACTGATGGCTTGGAAGAAGAAGGATGAAATGTGTCTACTGGACTGAGCTCGGATTAGGGTTTATATTTAGGTTCAGGTGTAAATACATCCGAAGCTTGTAATCGTATCTGAAAGCCATTGTCACATGACACTTTTCAGCATTCAGTTCGGCAGATCGACCAAAGTAACTTATTCATTCACATAATACAGTAAATTTCAATAAAATTCTCACTAAGAAGTTGCTTTCAGGTCGGTGTTAAGTGCAGTTTCGTTGGTAAAACAAATGTTCATCTTTTTCAAAATAGTATATTTGTATCATGATAAAAAAGATTACAAATGAAAACGAGTTAGTGCATGAGGCTTGCGTGTGCTGCTGGGATATCGGTAGCATTGTGAGCTCTGCAACTACTGACCGGAGTACAAGGTCAAATTGAGCCAGCCCACTATGAACACTTGGTAAATTGTTCTCCAACCCAGGACGAGTTCAATGCTAACGGTGCAGTCCGAGTGATTCACGTGAGTGATGATACGTGGATTATGGGCCTATTAGGATAGAAAATGTGTTGCACAAAAGTGCGTACCTTATGGTTGTAAAAACTGAACTGAAGTACGTATTTGCGTAACTGTCATAAAATATGGTGTATTTCGACAGCCGTCGTTACCCTATTTCAACCGAAGGTGGTTAAACACAGTTATCTCATTCCGTCACGGATTTATGGTCGAACTGTTCATATTGATTGTCTAGTACTTGAAGAGTAGAAATTATGTTGGTGCTTCTATGGTGAGAACAGAGATGAGATATAACCAGCAAGCAACACAAACTGTATGCAAATCTCGATAACAATGGCATGCATATCGATCGACCATGATCTATTGCTGTCTTATTGCAGCCGCTTGAGTTGTAGCTCATGGATCATATTGCAACGTGGCACGATAGACGAAAGTAATGGCTCCATTGTCGATCTCACGTGATATATTGGTATCAGCGGAGCATGACCGAATATAGCTTTTCAGGGGGAAGGGGACGAACACACGCAAAGGCGAAGGCGTACTAGCGAGGTAAACAATTAGGACATGTTGTGGGAATTGGGATGTGGCCGAGGTGCGTCTCATATAAGTTGTTGAAAAATACATAAGTCCGGTAGCGCCGATGAGTTCAACGAGACGGCTTGAAATGATGCTCAAACAACGTGAAATGATACCCGGACATTTTGAAGTGATTTTCGAACAATTTGAATTACCAAAGGTGCAGAAAACAGAGCACGCAATCGCGAGTTTGTCACGATCAACTCGCGTTTTCCCTTATGGGTTTATCTTACCTATGGCCTAAAGGTGACTGGATAGCCGCGTGATAAGTATCTTTAAGATATTTTAGAAAACATCGATAGTTCTCTAAATTTTGGCTTCCAAGTATCAGGGATACTTCATGAGTCTGTTTAGTCACTATTATTGGTAGAACAGCCCCAGAAGGAAATATATGAGTCTATTAGGAACTGGAGCACAGAACTATATATTTACGTCTCATAACCTCAGTTGCAACACCGGGTGAAGTTGAACAGGCAGCGGTTTCAGAGCCAGTCTGTTGGAGAATCATTACTATGATTCGATGTATTGTAGGTCATATAGTACTGTCAGGTATACTGCTCATTACATCCGGTTTTCAAAAGTAGCATTTTTTCAAATGTTTTGTTTTCTCAAATGAAGCGATCTTTTAGAGGCCGGAGCAAGAAATGGAAATGTGCACATGGCAAACAACGCGAATCCCTTTGGTTTAGATAGTATGTATAACGTTATTCGCTAGAGTCCATTTGCGGAGTACGTTTCAGGTTGACTGACTGACATCACAAATGACGTCCCGTTCCCCGAAACGATGGTTCCATTATTACCATTATTTAAAAAGATGGATGCGAATGTCAACTAAAATAATTTAATGTCAGCCTTGTCGTTCTTTATGCGTCATCTTTTCCCCTCGATTCCCCAAAACGTAATCGGAATGAATGAGATTAGTTGTAAAATGCATTGATCTTGGGCACTGAATGAGCACGTCCAAAGTATGTTCAACTTTGTTATTGTCTTGCGCTTTTTCCGTATAGAAAATCGATTCTCTGTCTCAGTCTCACATCTTTACAGGTTTTAAGGCTTTCAGATCACTCATAATAAACCCGTTTTGTACTTCCATTTATCAGCCGACCGATTGGGATGATACACAGCAAATCATTCAGTGGGTCGATGCTCCGATTGATCCGTGAGTTTCTTTCTGAAATGTAAACAGTTGGAATTAGTTTAAATTGCGTACATAAATGGCTTTATCAAAATTTTGTTTGCTAGTTCACCATTAGAGTTAGTGAAAACCGTATTAGATTTTACCTTGTGAAGTAACCAACTATAAATCATTTTAATTGTCCAAACAGTCCCACATTTCAGATAGAACAATGAGTGGTGAAGAAGCTCGTTTTCAGTGATTTGCGATCAGGCCAATACATCATAATAATTATTACGATGTATATATATATGTATATATGCATTAGTACTCAACTATAAAAACTAAACAGTTTTAGTTTGCACAACCATTAATCATGCAATATCGTGCACCGGTTTTGGTTGCTATCTTTCGGCTACCCATTTGGGTGAACATTAGGGGAAAGACAGGAAAGGTTGAAAGTAGGATCGAAGAAAAAGTTGAAAAGTTCAATGGATTATTGATACAGAGAAATTGAGATGCACGAACGCCACTGTTTAAGACACACGGCCATATCACTCAGTGTCTCTAATCATCAGGTACGATCATCCCGAGGTCTCCATCCAGGGAGCCTAACGCGACCTGTGTGACCTAGACTCCTGGTTAGGGTTTTCATACCCTCATGCCAGGTCTTAGCTTGACCACCCTTGGCTTTCTTTCACCCACTACCTGCCTCGGCAAACATCGCCGTGGCAACTTATTTTGAGACATGCGTAACACGCCCCAACCAGCGTAATCTATGGGGGTCGATCACTTGCTCGAGGGGACGACCGCGATGGCCCAAAACTTTTCGCCTGACTTCAGCATTGCTAGTTCGGCTGCCCCACCAGATTCGTGCAATGCTGCGTAGACATCGGTGTTCAAACACCGACAGTCTATCTTTGTCCTGTTTTCTTAATGGCCAAGTTTCTGCTCCATATAGTAGAACTGGCCGTACTACTGCAGCATATACTCGACCCCTCACAGACAGCCGGATGTCGCGACGGCGCCACAGATGTCTCAAGTTGGCAAAATAATCTCATAGGTTATTTAGGGTTAATTTCGTCTTCAGACCGAATGTGGGATTCTCAATGATCAAGGTAGGTTCAGTGCCGTGTGCTTGCCACATTGGAATTGGTAGGAATTCGTCTGCAAAATCCCTCTGTGTGCCAAAAAACAATTTATGCAGGAGCCTAAGCTTCCCTGGTTCACCCACCCCCACACATGCTCAACACTCCCAGTAGTCCCAACGATCGAATGACCTAACAATTATGTGACCTCAAGTGAATAATGGAGTATTTGATTAAATTTCAAAGGTTAGTTCATCGTTTATGTAGTAAATAGAGCGTAAAATGAGAAGCTAGGAAACTGGTTGGATCTCATCAGCAGTGCGGATTCATCGACCCAACTGAGGATCAAACCCGGGACCTCATGGGCAGAACGCATGCATGCTACTCACTCGACCATCGGGCAGTTGGTCAGACCGTTTCTTTCATTTTCCATTTACACGGTATTGCACAACCCATCTTTGCAAGCTTATTGCGGGCCACAGATCCTGCTCATCTCAACAATAGCCTCCGGGATTATGACGACGAATTGCCATTTGAAATTGAATCAAATCCTCCATTACTCACATGAAATAAGTAGTCAGGATGTGATTGTTTCCACAGTGAGCACTGAGCAAACTGCAGGGTCATGTGAAGATTTTAACAATACCAGAATCACAACCTTAGCTTCTGCACGACATTTCACTCTACTGTAACCATTCACATTCTCTGCTTGGGGTAAATTACGGTGGAACCATTCGGTAAAGAAAGTTTAATAGTCAACAAGCACAACGATATAACCTAAGGGCGGCGGACAACCAGTTTTTTCGGGTGGTTCAAGGATTTTGATTTCACTGACTGGTTACAGTCATCCTTATGCTGAAAAGCCCCGATGAAGACGTCTTACATTCCTCATGCCACATTTTGGCATAACTATAAGGACAGTGGCATACCCATACCCAGTATTGATGCTCCATTGAGTATGGCTTAACACCACAGTTAAACTCATACTTTGGTACATTAAGCGTTGAACTGGTAGACAATCAACGTAGGAACTATAAGCGGGCGTCTCTGGTCAACCATGATTTATATTTCAAAATGTGATACCACCATCCAATGATTAGCTGCTACGTTTCATTGAGTGGAAATGTTAAGCAGATGGTCAGTGAGGCAAAAGAAAGAGTCGCTTGTTGCCTTGTTTTATTGATCACATATCAATATCTAACGGCATCCAGGATGCTTTGTAATATTTATTTTCAAATAGACCATTAGAATTTTAACCAATCTAATGAACTTATGCAACCGAATTGTTGTTGACTGATTGTCTAACAGAGAATGTTACAAAAACACTCGGGGGGAATTTGGGTAAACTGCATGTGCTGGATAATTCATTAAATACTATAACACTATGGTCACATAGATCCAGTTAAGATTCCGGGATGTGGACCCCAAGATCATGTTGATAGGTGGTTAGAGACACTGAGTGATATGGTTGGGTGCCGCAAACAGCGGCGCTCATACACTTGCGCATTATTCTTTCAACCCCAGTTTATATAAATTCTCTATCTTCACTTAGGCTCTGTTCTCAACATTCCAGTCTTCATTTTTATCTTTTATCCAAACTGGAAGCCGAAAGACAGTAAGCAAAACTAAAGCATGAAAATGAATGTTTAATGGTTGTGAAGACTGCAGCTGAAACAGCGATATTGAGTATTTTACTAGTAGAACTATCTACCTCCACTGCGGATTCATCCCGAAAATACGACAACCGAATCTGGGTAATACAGGACCTCATGTATTTCCGAATAACACACCTTCTACAAAGGAGTACTGCAATTACCTTAAACAATATTATTATGATTATTTTCATTTTTTCATAGTTTCGGGATGCACATCTAATGTGAATGCTACAAATTGTAGCGTGCTCCCGTTGTTTAGAAAACCATAAGAATATTTATATCATAAATTAGGCAAAACTCGAGCAGTCAATGAGTATTGATTACCGCACCAACTGCCTATCAATCCGTAATCGTGCTGTCTATTTCTACTTTCAGCTGCAAGAATCCGCCAGTGAATACTGCAGAGAATGTACACCACTCGAATGCAGGCAGTCGGGCTGATTCACAACAAACAACCAGTCGGACGGGTTCAATTGATCAAAGTGAGATCCCTGAATTCGGATCAGTTCATGAGGTGACTCGGAAGAAACAAAAGCTAATTGAAACTGAGCCAGAACCAACTTATGAGGAGCTCCCCGACCGCACCGACCCAAAACCAGTTGAATTATTGGTATCCGCAACGGCAGACTATGCTCAATACATTTGTGAAGTGGACAGTATTCGTTTCCGGGATACGATGATGCTTCAACGGCGTGTATATCGGTATGGGCTATATTGATAGTTTACATTGAAACCTTTGGAGAGAAGTAATTTAATTGAACACATTTCACATACGTAGGTGTTCATGAACTGGTGTAATTTTGTATGATAACAGGTGTCTGCTGTGCTGGTAATTTCCTAAAGATGGGAAAATTCATATAAACCACGATTCACGGATCATCAAACGTGATTACCTTTGATTCAGCAAATCTTCTAACATGATCTATTGGTTTAGTGGGACCCGCATTTAGGCCAAATGCACCAATGTGCACTAGATTTTATCTTTATGGAAACATCGACATTTTCGACCATCCTTCTTTTATGTAAGGGGACGCAAAATTTTACTTTTTCAAATCGTTTGATTTCATGTCATATACCACAAGCTGTGCACATAGAAACTTCATGCTTAACAATGAGATATACCTCCTGGAGAAAGTACATTGTAATCACTGTCTATCTTGCTTTTGTCTTCTCATCCTATGTTTTTCTGAAGACCACCGAACAAACTATGTTCTGGAGAAAAACATTGGTTGTTTCTCTTCATGGATAGAATACTTCTTCAAGGAAAAGAAAGTTACAGGTCGGATTCACCCCGAAAATGTTAATCTTATAAGCGGGAATAATTTACAAAGAAAGGATAACCTTATGGTTCCTCAATTAAAAGAACGTATGTGAGCAGACATTTGTGACGCAGTTTCAAACAAACGTCTTCCCCATCCTGTTGTCTATCATATTCCTCTCTTCGTATTCACAACTTTCCACCCCCTCCCCCATCCTCGAGTTTTCAATCAGTTCTTGTTTCTTATGCTAACGTTTGATGCCCGATCCCATTATTCTCCCTACATCGCAACCAAATGTGTCTCTATAACTCATAGGTTCGCCGCCTAGAGTGGATGACTTCATTCGAATATGACATTTCTTTCTGTGACGTGATTGTATAAATTTGCGTTCAAATCTGATTGAGGGTACACGTAATGATTGTACCCAATAAAACGTTTATTTTTTTTATCAAAGACTCAGGGAAAAGGATGTTTTGTTTCATTGATTTTGATAAGTAAGTGTGGAAAGTTTTGTGTTGGACAAACTGCGTATATATGACCCTTCCTAGACAACTATTTCAAAAACAATGTGTGATAAATAGACTAGGGGAATCCTAAACTACAGATCTATTAAACACTCCACATTTGGGTCACATTAGGTGTGTGGATCCATTGACACGACTGAAGATTGAGCTCGGAACATGACAGACAGAAACAAACTCAGTATTCACTTGATTTGACTTGACCATCGAGTATGTGATCCGATTATTTTACTTTTCTCATACATAACGCATCTCTTCAAGCTTAGTTGGATCATCTCATCTCGCTCAGAGTGGCACTGGCATTCAGCTCTTTCAATACCCATTTCATGTAGTGATTAGATTGGCACCAGCTGTGACCGCTTTTGGTGGTTACTTTAATTGTGTTATCGAGTATTTTGAGATTGACAATACTACCGCGTCATGAATTGTTCTGCTGTGTATACTAAAAAACATATTTTCAGACTACTTTGAGGTTATCCATGAAACAGTGTAAAAATTATTTTTCCCACCAATAAAGCATACGCCGCAATTTTCAATTACATGTAGAAGCTGTACGATTATGGTGTGAGAACCAATAGCGCTATGCATTACAGAATGCATCTGGTGGGATAACTGGACGATCGATATCCAATCTTAACATAGAATATAATTTGATGATGGTCACGCTCCTAGTCAATGGCGTCATTTTTGGAACACCTTTAACGCATGTCGCCGGCTTCGGCGGTGGGATTTTCGCACAGACAATTACTGATTAGAATACCGTCAAAGTTTGACCGGGTCTGATGTATACAAACCTCTAAACAGTGAACTCTATGGCGCGAGTCACGGTAAACTTCCCGTTTGAATTTCTCGCGGTAAACCCAGCCAGTGATTTGACATAAGGTGATGCTATACACCGAGTCATATTTTACGCATATATCTTCTTTATGTTCTAATTATTTTTGGCCCAAACGTAAGCCTTTCGTCCGTTTGCATTTTCACTTACTGACCGCAAGTTTGGCTGATCGACCAAACAAAAGTAAGATCGTGCCACTTTCTAAACCGAAAGTTTCGACACGGCATCTTATTCGAATTCAATTAATTTTGATACAACAAGCCTTCCTTCTCCCTACTGATTTTTAGATTCGAGTTGATTAACTCAGGACTCGTAACGCTGCACTATAGGTGGATGATCAAAATGACTAGTGCTGTGCCGAGAAGACAACTACAAGATGCGGAAACCACAGAGGCATGTGATTGGGAACCCGAACTAGTTCCTTTTTTCGTCTCCCCTTCAGCTGGTTCAGTTTTACCAGGAAAGTCGACTTTCATTGAGGTCAGTTGTCTTTTATTATATTCAGAAAACATTCAAATTTGTTCTTGTATCCTTGTTTGTGGTAACTATGCACGCACAAAAGACAAAGGATCGGACTATCGAAATAATCTTGACAGGCTAAATTTCCACGTCAATTGATTAAAAAAACAGTTTATGGTCCTTAACTGAAATTGTGAAGAGTTCATTAGCCTTGGTTGGAGTCAATCCCAAGTAAAGACGTCTGCTACGCTTTTGCACAGTGCACGCTATACCAGCTGAGCTAGAAGGACACGCCGACAGCACTGACCTTTTCACATTCAAATCACCCATCCAACTTACAGAGGCGTTGACAAAATATTGAAAATTGGTTCTCGTAATTCGAGTGAACTGAATTCGATTTTGCCTGTTCGCCGAGCTTGGCGATTTGTTTGCAAACGTTTCACCACCATCCGAGGTGACGTCATCAGTACTTGTGAAGTGGCAGTGTTCTGCTTGTACTCGTTTGTTTATATGTGTTCTTCTCCACCGAGGCGTACTTCATCCACTAGAGGTGTATGTAAGCTGATTGCCACGATCGGTTCTCCTAAGAATTCACCGGACTCCATCGAATGAAATTCCAAAGCTAGGTTAATTGTATAAAATACTCTTTGGCAGATTGAGGTCGTATGTTTATGTTCTGTTTTAATAATTGAGCAGTACCACTGCATATTATTGACGTGTGTACTGCCTGAAGGATAAAAATTCCGATGGACTGAACATCGGTTAATATTTCCCCATCGCTCAGCATAGGTTTTCTCTCCGTTTTCTGAGGCGATGCCTGTCGCAATCATCTGAGTTATCGTACATACAAACAAAAATATATGTAGTCATTTTTTAATTATTAGTCATGTTTAATTTCGTAACCCGTATTTTTATATATTTCCCTTATGTTGTTTTCGTCCTCAAGGTTACATTCCATCCTTTATTGCCCGGGGAATTCGAGGCACAGCTTCGTGGGAATTTTGACAATTTGGCCAGTCAGTCAGAAACAAGCAGTAAAACAGCCGTAAAACGCAATCCTGTTATTCCACTCGCAGGTGTAGCACAACAGTCCTATATATATCTAGATATGATTGAGTCTGATTATTTAAGCGCCGGACGTCGCAATCCAGAGCTCCTGGGTCCATTGGGTTCGTCACTGGGGACATCACTTGATCCCACGACTCGTGTAATTGAGTTTAATACAGTTGGTGTGGGAATAAAAAGTTGTAGGTGAGTTATTTAACGTGTGCATTGATTAAGTTGCATTTCGATGTGTTACTGGTTCTGCTGGATGGTACACTGTGAATGAAATTATGAACAAAAGTGCAGTGAATTGTGTATTTTAATTTCTGTCACAATGGAATAAAACATCTCAGCGAAATAAACATTTAACGTTTACACTATATACATTACAAGACACTTTCCCATTGAAAATTTTATTTCATCTGTGTCATTAGTATAACCGTACTTGGGATAAGCTTGGTTTGGAAAAGACTAGATGAACCCAAACTAATGTGAAATCAAAAGCCGATTTATCGTGTAAAAAACGATGCGACTGAAGAAATCTGCCGTATGCACAGTGAGGCTTTCTGAGTGGTCCTAATAGATATCTTCTTTTACCTTTCGATTCTGATGAAAACTGGTTGATTTTCGGTACTTTATGGATTCGTCCTCTTGTTCACGAATCGCCGTCAGATGATGTACCGAGAAAAGTTATGCAAAACTTTGAGTTTGATCTTCCTACTTTCGCGTTTTTATGCTGTTTGAACTTACACGGATAGACTTGGAGCAGAATGAAGAATTGGTTCAGATATCACCGTGATGTTAGGTATCTGTTTGAATAGTACTCAACTGATTAGTGCTTATTTTCGGTACAGTGGCATTTTGGTTACGTCACTTGTAAACCTGCATCCACTGCGGTACAATACGTACGGAAAATTCATTTCAATTGCATCTTTTAGCCCCCTGCCGTGATACCCAGTAGCTAACAGGAATCTTTTGTTTGAACGACGAAGCAAGAACAGAAAAGTAAAAGAATTCAGAAATATCACTTTTCCTGATACATATCAGCAGAATCTAAACTTAAACAATCTGGAAATCTAGCTCCATTTGGATGGGGGTATTACTTTATGGTTCTTTTACTACTTAGACAGACTACTGATTGATAATTTCCACTTATCCTCCAAAGTTGTTCAAAGTGATGACATAAAAGCTCGAGCGGGGTGGGGGTGGGGGGACACGAGAAACATTTGGCTCAGTTAACTCGCTCCGAGAATGTCAAGCATCTGATTCAGTGTACGCCCTGAACTTTCTAATACAAAACTGTTGGTTTTTCTATCCCACTAAACAAGAGAAATAATATGAAGACGACAATTCACGAAATCCTTCAGTTACATAAATATCCTTAAGTTTTCGTGTACATTCATTCGGCACACGAGAATCATATCTCCGTGTCAATGTGGGAAGCTATTGAAAACACCGAAACATCCACTGAACTCGTTTTGAAAAGATAAATATTCCATCAGTGCCATAACAGAAGCATAATAACTAATACTATAATATCTCGCATGTGTCAGAATCTATCCGCTAAACAAACTATGATACAAAAATCTTTATAACAGACGTGAGCAAACAGTAAAACACTTCACAGTATCCATGACAGTGGGTTACCTAGGGCTTCAGCTGCTAATTGAAGGTTAATCAGCTGTGCATCAACACTCATCCACTAGTGTTATTATATTCCCAATAGATGTAAGGTTTATGATAGAGTAAACCGAATTTCTGAATGACATTTTAAAATATGAACGTACGAAAAACTTACCTACTCAAGAACGTCAGATTCATGCATGAACCTTCATTCAATAGTACAACCTTGTTCAAACTGATTTGGTCGAGGCTTGCTTGATGTCATTTAACTGGTACAAGTACTGAAGTTTTTATGACAAATGTTCATAGAAAACATAAATATGGAGTTAAAGGGTTGTGCTAGGGAACACATCTTTTCTGATAACTCATCCACCGCCAGCGGATTGATTGTTTCTTCAATTTAAATGAATGAGGAAGACAGGTTTTCCTGAACATTCTTTAAGCATAAGTCATGCCAGAGGATATTGTGGTGGGCTGAGTTCGGAGCTGCTTACAATTCAACGAACATAGAGGTAATTGGTATAAAGAAGAAGAATTCAACGTTCGGCAGAATCTGTAAAATTGGACAGAGTAACATTCTTCAGGGAGGAACCGAATCTGAGTCTTCAAAAACGTTGGTGTACAGCAGCTGCTGTTGACAAAAGCGGAGCCTTTGAATTCGACCACGCCATTTATCTCTAAATTCATATTTACACTGTGAATTTATTGTCATCAAATCGCATCGTTATCAATTTCAAGGACACCAAATGCTAGTATACACGAGCAAGTTCATGGAAGATTTATGTTATCGCGCGAACTGCGCTTTTGTGAAATATTCCAACAGTGTGAGAAATTAATTCAAGCTCCGTTTTTTGAGTGGGTTTCACTCCGTCCTTCTTGGAAACTTCTACATGTCACCCATAGTATCAGTTGCTGACATAAATAGCTTTTTAGACATCTTTTCTACCTCCATAATATTAAAAACAAGTGACTCTTTGTGTATATTTGTTGGTGATTTCAACAGACATGATGTAACATCCCTCACCACACCGGGTCTACAAAATTTAGTATTTTTTCCTACCAGACTGAATTCACAGCTTGATTTCGTTTTCACAAAGAGACCACAATTTTTTAAAGTCCAGAAACGCGCTCCCCTGAGCACTTCAGACCATTGTATCTTAAAAGTATGTCCCACTGTATACAGCAAAACTAACCAATACACATTTTTAAGAAGGCCTTCCAAGAAAGTGAGTCAAAGAAATTGTTCATCGGAGAATCTAGAAAGGTTAAGATCCATGATTGCTACGACAGATTTTTCGGTGTTTCCCGATCAGAACCCTTCTGTTCTCTGTGAACATGTTACGGACCACGACGGTTAGAGACATGGAATGATATGGCTGAGTGTTGCATCTTCTCAATTTCTTAGCAACCTTATACCACTGAAGTTCTCCATTTTCTGTTCGACTCCACTTTCAACTTTCTCTCCTTCTCCTATTCTTCATCCAAATGGGCAGCCAAAAGACAGCAATCAAAACCGGCGCACGAATATGTGTGGTTAATGGTTGTAAAAATTGAAACTGGAACTGAATGTTGCCCACTAGAGACGGTCTTTATCCATAAAGACATATACATCACCACTACTCAAGCAGCTACGCAGGGGACAAGAACAAGGCTGTAAACAAGGATAAAGAATCCATGTTAGGCTGCTAACAATTTCGATCAAAGAGGAAATAAATCGGTTGAACAAACTGTACATTGACACTATCCTGGGAAACTCTAGTTATTGTGGCATATGGAGGGCTATCAATCGATTGTGTGGCAGTAGCCATAAACACAAAAAGGAAACTGTCGACGTTGAAAGACTAAATTCTGAGTTTATTTCAGTTTCACAGTGCACTGCCCTGCCGGACATAGTCAGCTCGATGCCGACACCAACCATCGAATCCGCCACAGTCCTGAAACAGCTACTGAAAACTAAGTTGAATGAAGCATCCGGCCCGGATGAACTATCACCCATAGTACTCAAGGTATGTGCGCACATCCTTTCAACCTCATTGTCAAAAATATTCAATGACTGTCTGATAAGCGGAAAAATCCTTGATATTTGGAGACTGGCCAAGATAACTCCCGTTCCTAAAAAGGAGCCTGAGAAGTATCGTCCCACCACCTGCACGTCAGTCATGCTCAAATTGTTTGAGAGAGGCCTGTTACCGTTGGTTGTCACTGAGTCTGAAGAAGGCGACATAATTCAATATGCATATCGTTCTTCGCGCTTAACACTTGATGCCGTTGCATACCTTGTTCATTCAACAATTTCCGCACTAGATGAAAAAGTAAGACTGTCAGAATGCTGTTCTTAGACTAAGAAGACGCTTTCGACAGTCTTGATCGATCAGTATTGCTCAAACTGATTACCGAAAGTGATGTTAATCCAAACGTTAGCAGATTGATCTGCGATTATTTCACAAACAGAAGGCGGTTTACGTGCCTCAACGGAAAAAGCCCTCCATTCGCCCAGTTTCTTCTAGTGTTCTGCAAGATGCTATATTTTCCCCGTTCTTCTTTTCTATGTATGTCTAACAATTTCCCATTCCTCCGGCATTCATTGGCTGTAAACACGCTGATGACTTTGTTATAGGTTGCAAAGCATCCACCCCTGAAGAGGCTTCAGAAATTCAAAGCAAGCTGAACGACGTTGTAACTTGGTTCCTGTCCCGTTTCCTCTCATTGAATGCCTCTAAATGTCAAGATGTTGTATTTTCCCTCTTGGCCGATGTACCATATTCATTCCTCACAGATAGGTTCCCCACCCTCTGTGCCAATCAACAATCCGTACCAAAATCCACAGTATTAAAATACGTTGGCGTTACCTTATCACACAATTTATCGTGGTCACTGCATGTTCAAAACATTCTGTAAAGTTAGAAAGCTTTCATATTTCTCACTCCAATTGAGATTACTTTCTGTTCCCCACAAGCTGATTGTTAGGTTTGTGAATGCATGCGTGCTACCCCACTGGTTGTATTGCTCCCCAGTGATTTTTCCCGGTATGTTGAAGAAAGAATTTTATTTACCTGCGAGATCTCTGAAACACATCTCTAAATGTAGTGGCATTGTCAGGGATAAACTCGCAGATTCTATCATAGACAGACACCTACAAGCATGCAAACGTTTCACTGCCAAAATACTCTCAGACACTTACCACCCACCCAACGAATTTTCAAAAGCTGTATCTACATCATCCACACGCTCAAGATTTAAACATTTATTTGCTCGTACCTCTGCTTATCGTAATTCTGTTCTGCCATATCTAGCGCGTCTACTTATTGACGAAGAGAAAATCTCCACAGAATTAACAAACACAACCTACTCTTTTCAGTTTCATTATGTAATGATTTTATAACTTTGAATCCACAAATATGGTGAAAATGCTGAAAATTCACCCATCCGGGTGCATAAAGTTACTATTGACTTGACTTGACTTCAACGTTTATTGCTGATGCAAGAAAATCAACTGATGGAGAAAAGTTCGGCTATCAATTAGGATTTAATATTGTTATTTAACTAAATTAATAACAGTGGCACTGAATCAAACGTTTTTCTCTTTGTACCGTTTTAATCTGATACATCTTGAGCATTTATTGGGGCTTCACCACTCCAAGTTGAAAAGTCTACGTTGTTGAGTCACATAGCAGACAACAGTTTGTTTTTATTACTGCTTGTCGCACCAGGTTGTTCATTAAAAGTGAAAAAGTTATTCCCTGGTTTACGTTTGATTGTGGAAAAATGGTAATTTGCATACTTCTGATCACTTGCTAGCTTAATGTTGAACATCGTAAGGAAAAACAATGAATAAGTATATTATCAGCCTGTTCAATTATACATTATGTACTACAGAATTACAATGATCATCAATAATGATTTCGAACAAAGAAATACATTCAACGTTATGCAAATAAGAGCAATTATACAGAATTCATAAGATTTGATTTATCCATTCAATCTACATCTTCAATATTTCAGAAAAATTTCCATCGCAAATCTCACAACAGAGAATCTGCGTTTTTCCATCGTCAATGAAGACGCCTCGACGCTGAAGGAACCACCCCCTGTGGTTTGTTCCGTTCCGAATGGAGTGATTGCGGGCGGAAAAAAGAGTGAGGTAAGATCTGATTCACTCGGTGTAACTCATCTTAACCCAACTGATGTAATTCGTAACTCGATAATATCCACATATCCTAGGAGTCCCCCTGTCACGGCTTATTGAAGTAACAATTGGCGTGGCCCAAACCGAAGAATTTACGGGTGTCAGAACTCCCTTGCTTACCATTTCATCTAACGCCTTTTTTACGGGCTTTCGAAGTCCAAGTGGGATAATCCCACGTTTCATAAACACCAGAGAACCGGTCACTTCGAGACTCACAGGAGTCATTTTGACACAACCCTTTGCCTTGGAACATTCAAGTACTAAGTAACGAAGGCGTTATTGATGGGAGTCAAAACTGAATGAAAATGACAGATGCATATGATTCATAAAATTCAAACCAATTATAGAAATATCGGAATCAATAACCAAAAATGGGCAGTGAAATGTTTGTGATTTATCGTCTTTAAGAAGCAGTTCGCATGATCCTAAGACGGGCAAAGAAGGACAGGTAATTCCCTTAACTGAAATTAATGATGAAGTCGCGAGTAATGTGACGAGAGGGATATGGACTGGTACTGGCTAGAGTTAAGGACTGTAAATCACACAATCTTTAGAAGAATGAACAACCGCACGTTTTGTAAGATACGACTTCGCACTTTTACAGACAGATTGGATATGGCCAAGCTTACCTTAATCGTGACACTTGGCATTTCGAACTCTACAGGATAACCGCGAAGGTCTTTAACCACAGGAATCGCGTTTGTTCCATCGTTGGTCATTGTAGGCTGGAGAACTGATGTTGCTTGGTGTTTTCGAGCCCTTTTCGTAAAACCGCTTTCGTCGGGAAGGTGACTGTTTGGAATTGCTGGCATTGAACAAGTTGGATTCATCACAAATGATGGCACGGACGTCTTGGTACTGTTCACAGACTGCCTTAGCTGACTGAATTGTGCAATCGTGCATGAGCAGGAGCTTTTGTTGTAATTCCGGGTAATTAATTGATCACGTAGTTGGATTTGCAATTGATCTCCGAAGTTGCAACGAGATGCTTGAGTCTGAAGCTGAAGACTAAAATCACGTACCGGTTGGCTTTCACCACGTGTGAGTGAATGAATTTTGGCTCATCCAGCTGTTATATTCCGAAAAGGCGGTGCTGGTCGAGGAGAATTCTGCATTGCAGAATACAGATTGAAGGTCACTAATTGTGCATGCATAACACGAAAAGCTTATCAGAAACATGCCTTCGCAGCACATCGCGACACATGGGGCAATGGTTATAGCAGGCAGTGTTTATTCTTCCCAAATATATTACTTGGTCCTTGATGGTCTTGTTCTATTTTTAATCACTGAAAGTTACCGACTACTCGCAAGTGAGTAGTATCTCACAACACAGCGGCTTCGAAATTAGCCGACTGTGGATGCTTCAGCAGCAAGGTTTTCAGGGATTCATACGGCAACGATACAGGAGAGTCAGGAAATGCCAAATTCTTCAACATTGAGTATGCATCCTCTCCGATGACCGTTAGGAAATAAGCCGTTTTGCGTTCTCCATCGAGTCCTTTCCGCGTAATACACCAAATCTCGAATCGTTCAAGATAATCTTCGACTTCGTGCGCGCTGGCATGTACATTCAATTTCTCTAAATTACAGGACTCCATTAGTTTAAAATGACCGCGACGCCAGTTGTTGTAGTTGGCACTCGGACTAATAATTCGTTTGTGTATCGGATTCCGCGCAGTAATAGATCAACCCAGAACTAAGACTCGAAACGAAATCAAAACACAGAACTCAAGGACAGAATGGAACTGTAATAAGCTGAAATTCGGAATGTACAAGGATATCGTGTTCAATAGAACAAAAGAATTCATAGCTTATGAGCAATCACCACAAAATTGCTATTTTCTCTCTGTCGCTGGCCGCCACTGGTGGTTGCCAATAGCCCGACCTCAAGTCGACAGTACCCGTGCAGGTTGCAGTTGTTCAAATATCTCCAACGTCAGTGGCATCGGAAAGACGTCCTTTATGGTTACGCGATTCAGTTCTCGAAAGTCGACAGAATGTGTACGCACTGTCAGATTTTCTAATGAGCAGCACTGGTGACGAGTACGGGCTGGTACTCTTACGGATAATACCTCTTACCAGCATGTCGCGTACCTATTTCTCCACCTCCGGCAGTATCTTGTGAGGTATCCTTCAGTACACAGGCTTACACATGTCTCTTGGCATTTGTTCTATTTTTGCGCTCCGACCAATCACAAAATCCATACTCGTCGGCTGCAATAAAATACTTTTGAACGCATTGCTCAACACATGGAATTGAACACTCCGGAATGGCCTATTTCCCTGCAACGCTGACAAGGGCATCTGTTTGTTTTCCTGAGATTAATTCGTGTGCTTGCGATCCCACGAGCAATTTATCTCCCACGAAATCAATCTTCGCACCCACGGGCCTGAGCAGATCGACACCGATTATAATCTCACTTACACCTTCGATCAAGAACATCTCA